GCGGGGCGTATGGCCAGCTGGGGCTCGGCGCCCGGCGGATCCGGGCAGACGCTTTTAGGTCGGCGCTGGTGCCCGTCCCGCCGGGCAGAGAGGGCAGAGCAGGACGGCGCCGGGAGGCGGCCCGTCTTTGCCTTGACAAATGTGCGGAGATGCTCAGCTGGACGGCCTGGCCGAGAAACGCGCATTTTATAACAGAAGTCTTGTAGTGTCGAAAAGAAAAAAGTGCTGCTGGTCAGTGGAAAGCGATGAATGTGCTGCCTTCGCGTGCCAGAGAATGAAGCTAACGCCTCCTTTCACCTCCCGCACGGCTGTGCTGAACCACAGAGTTTCACAGACTTCTTTTGGGCAGTTAGGGAGCAGGAGTCAGTGTTGTTCCTTCAGCTCCGACACCATCCCAGCGCTTCCCCCTGCTCAGACTAGCTCTAAGAGCAAAACCAGCCCCCGAGCTGGCTTGGGTCCACTCCATCCCTGCCCCGGGGATGGCAGGGGCCAGAAGAGAAGAGACCACAGGAAATAAAAACGCACATACGAGCTCTTGCTCTGCTCGGTGCTATGAACGGGTCTCATAAAACGCTGCCCTATTTTTCTGCTGCAGCTCCCTCGCTCCAGCCGTTCTTCCTAACTGCCCCAGCGCTGGGAGGAGAGATCGCCTCTGCCTTCCCCTGCAATCATCTGCCAGGCGAGTGCCTGATTTGCCAGCAACAAGTGGCACTTTGGCAAGGTGCATCCACCGCACGGTCCTGCAGCTGCCTCCACCTCTGCGCAGCAGACGCCTTTGCAGAGCAGGGAGCGCAGCAGCAGCAGCAACACCCAGAGGAAAGCGCTGAGCGTCTGCAAAGCGGCGCCTCCCTTTTTCTTCATCTGAGCTTTTCTTCACGGTTCCAGCACACTGCCCTCTGGGTGGATGTGTGTGTGTGTGCACAGGCACATGCATCCACGCAGGCCCTGACCAGCAAAGCATGAAACGTATATCTGCACGGCGTAATGCAGTGCTAAGCAAAGACACAGGAGCGATCTCCGAGCAAGCTTAACGCCGGTACAGGCGCCGGCGTAGCTGTGTCAGCATGATGCTCCATCTGATGTAATGATGTCCCCTGCTTCTCGGCAGGGCTGATGAGGCCGGGCAGAGCGTGCAGTGACATGGACGCATCCCCATGACTCGTGTTGTGCTGGAGCGCTGCGCAGCTCGGACAGCTGTGCTCCGAAATCTGCTAGTCCCTTTGTGGTTATGTATTGCTCTTAATTTCATTGTCAGGCCAAGGACAAGAGAATATGATATTCATCAGGTGCATGCGTATATCAAGGGGCTCCGGGGAAGCGTGAAAGAAATCCCTCCTGCATCTCTCCAAGGAGGCAGGTTTCTGCCAAAGTCAGGGAAATCACTCGTCCAGCGCCGCGGAGGGCAGGCGAAGGAGGGGGAAGCCCCGGCGAGCGGCGGCTGATGGCCCCTCTGCATTGCAGGTCGCTCCGGCGCGGCACAGCCCAGCGACTGCTACTGCAGCAAGAGCTGCTCCCGGGGGCAGAGTGCGCGGCTCCCCCTCCCCGCAGGGCACCGGCGGGGAGCTCAGGGGCCTTTCGGGTGCCTGCCGGCAATGCCTTTTGCTGCATTACCTTTTACAGAACCCTTGGCTTTGGTTAGATAAACTCGACCTGCAACTTATCCCAAAGCTGTGCTTGGAAATAAAGGTGGCAGATGCAGGGCTCTCCATACCTTGCCGAGTGCCAGAAGCCATGAGTGCTGAAGAAAGCTTCCCATATAGCACCCGGCTGCCATACCCCTCGATATACATGACTGCGCCACTCCTGTGCTTAAAATTATACCCTGGCTTGAGTGTGTCACTAGGCTGAGCCTATGGCTGTGGGCTGCCTTCTGGGTCCATTCAACGAGCTTTCGTTCACTTCCATCATACGGGAAAGAAAAATCCTTCAGGCTGGGCTAAAGCAGAATAAATCTGTTGCCAACAGAAGGGAAGTAACTCTCATAAATCTTATGCAGCATACACAGCTCTGGCACGACTACTGACTATGAAGAAATGGGAAACAATTAGTTGTGATGATTTGCATAAATATCCTCTTATCCATGCAGTTCATTCGGCTGGTCTTATGATAATATTGACACAGGAAAAGTTATCTTATAGATTCCAATAGCAACTGTAATGCTGCGTTGTCATTGACTTAATTTAGGAGCTGTAAGGGTAAAATCACGTTTATGCAAATTACTTTAACCAGTAAGTAATTTCCTGTCTTTTGAATGCATCAGGTTTTTCATGGCATTGCAATTATGCGAGGTGCAGAAGTTGTATCAATTACATCAAATAAGTCTAAATTAACACGGCATATATGCGCGAATTCCTCCTTTCAGAAAAATAAGTCAATGCATAAGCAGGGTGCAGAATTAGATATGCAGATGGATTTGAATGCAAATTGTCAGCTGTTAGTGTTCAAAACTG